TTGCTTACACCAAGAGTCATATCTTTCCATATTTAAAATAGGAAAGATGTTACTGTAAATTCCATAATATTGTTTCAATGTGCTAGCAAGTATCTTTGTGAAAAAAAAATAAATTTATTAATCGTATATGATATAAATAATTTTTTTTTGTAAAGGAAAAAACCACTTACTGAATAATAGTACCACGGGATATTGTACAAATATCCTTCCATCGCTTTTCTCCAATCCATCGATGGCTCTGCGTAATTCTGTATATTATCTATTAAATTGAACAAATATAAATTGAGTCGATCTTAATTAATTAAATTAAATTAATTAAATTTTTAAAAATAAATACGAGTTCTCAATAATTGAGCCAACTCAATGTAATTGTATGGAAGGAGAACGAGACACGCTTCAATAGTATATTCATCTTTTCTGATGGCTGTCAAATATCCAAACGGTTGACCAAGTACACCTTGACTATGTCGTCCACTATGTTCAACATAAACCTTTTATATAAAAATTTTAATACATATTTATGATCGAATATAATTAACATTGACGTGTTAATGATATTTTGCTTACAGGCCATTTAGTTCCTGGTTTTTGCCTCAATAATTCTTTGCTCACGTCACAATCTGATAACTTGTAAATGTCGCGAGAAAATTGAGGTGGCAAATCATAAACGTCCGCACTTAATTTATTAGTTTTCCAAAATATGATCGTAGGGATCGATGGACGTTTATGTTCATACTAAATAAAAAAAATAAAAAAATAATTTTAATCATAAAGAAAAAATATTAACAAATTACTCAGTTTAAGATACTCACCACGAATTTTGGGGAAAACCCTCTCATTGCATCAGGTTCAACCCAATATTCTTCAGGAATTGGATAAGTTCCATTTATCTTATTCGGATCGACGTAGAGATGAACAAAATGATTATTCCTTTCAGGAGATCCATCCTCTAATACGAAAGAATTAAATCAATATCACGCGAAATTTTTTTTTAAAAAAAAAAAAAAAAAATTTTTTTGTTATCAACCTAGTTCAACTAAATTCAAATGTACCCCACACGTCTTTTTCAATGGACGCATATGACGTAACTTAGAAAGTGGATATGGATCCTTTATGCAAATGATATTATCAAATGCATGGACCATTTGCTCAAATGTTTGAATTTTATATAATTGACCTATAAATTCGAATGAATTATTAGAAATTTAATTGAATATTTATAAATACGCATAATTTAATATGATTACCAAGCATTTTCATATTTATCCAATCTAATTGTCTTGGAAAATCAGACGAATCTGATTTCGAAAGATAAAAAGTATACAATCTCTGCTCCCATCGATACTTTTCTTGGTAAATATTTGTACTTTTTTCTGAATCCTTCTAAAATAAAATAGATTCAATTTATTGATGTATTGAATATTAAGGTCAAGTTTTATGGTAATATTTATTACCGAGTACACGAGACCGTTATTCAACCAATTTAAATTCTTTCCATCTGTAAACCAAAATATACAAGAAGTCTCGTTGTGTTCGATATAGTTGCCCTAAATTTAAATATGATAAGATCACCAGTAGCAGAATTTTTCACGTGATCTACTAAGAAACTGTCACGTGGCTTAGTATCAAATATTAAAGATTACTTACTCTACAAAAAAAATCATGCCATCTACATATGCGACGAAAATTTAAATACTCAAAAACTGTTTCAAGTCCCGATCCGTAGAATGATGGGTCTGGTTGTAATAGCTCAAGTTGTTCAAATAATTTATATAATTTATTTCCATCTTTTTTATATTCCCACTATAAATGAAAATATATATATATATATGAAAGCTTCAAAATTTATAATTCATATTGATTTATTTGGGAAAATATTAAACTGAATGTGACAAAGAGAACATATTGGAGAGAAAAAAATTTACCTTTATACAATAACCTTCTTTATCGGATGACACTAAGAAATATTTGGTACGATACTGATCTCGTGTTCCATTCATATACTACTTATAGTAAGCAGATGAAAATTTTATTTAAATTATTAAAACTTGCAAACTTACAAAGATTTTAAATATATTATTTATATTTATTTACCTCTAGAAAATTCCGAATTCCATCTTTGACAATATCCAATAGGGACGATCCGACTAAAGTCTCATCTTCACAAACATCTATCACAAA